AAAAAAAAAAAAAAAAAAAAGAAACCCCACACAGAGTATAAAATAAATATGTTTGTTATGTTTAAATACATAAATAAAGGCCATGATAATGGTATAAGAGACTGTTACAATTAACTAGGGAGATGTGAAAAAGAAACAAATTTCTTTGCTTTGTCCATTTTTCTGGACATTAAACACCAATAATTAAAATTAGAAACTCAGTTGATGAGTTACATAGCAAATTAGACACAAAGGAAAATTTGTGAACTGAAAGATGGAGCTGAAGAAATTACATAAAATGCCAAGAAGTGAAAAATATGAAAAGGAGATTAAGGGATGGGGGGATAAGGTGAGAAGGTCCAGTGTTTTTCTAATTAGAGTTCTAGAAGGTGATAAAAAGAGCATGAGGGAGAAACAGTGTTTGAAGACAGCGACAGAGAACATGAATTATCTACAAAGAAGTCACAATTGCTGCTCTGGCTGATTTCTTAATGCATGGGTGCTTGCAGACAGTGATGGCATCTTCAAAGCACTGACAGAAAATGCCAGCCCACTAGAATTCGATCCAAGCAAAATTCGTTTTTAAGAATGAGCATAAAAAAAAACAGTCATAAAACACAGCATTTCCTATCAACAGAAGATCACTAAAGAAATGTGGAAACAGGAAAGGTCCAGAAGGAGCCAGGAGCTTCAAGAAGCAGCTGCGAGGAAAGAAAATGGGTCATGCATGGTAAGTCACAGGAAATACTCATTCTATAAAACTGTAAACGATGCTTAATTTGCTGGTTTAAAAAAAAAAAATCAAAGTAGGCCGAGTGCAATGGCTCACATCTATAATCCCAGCACTTTGGGAGGCCGGGGTTGGTGGATCACCTGAGGTCAGGAGCTCAAGACCAGCTTGGCCAACATAGCAAAACCCCGTCTCTACTAAAAATACAAAAAATTAGCTGGGCTTGGTGGCACACTCCTGTAATCCCAGCTACTCAGGAGAGGCAGGAGAATCTCTTGAACCTGGGACGTGGAAGTTGCAGTGAGCTGAAATCACGCCACTGCACTCCAGTTTGAGCAACGGAATAAGACTTCATCTCAAAAAAAAAAAAATAATAATAATAAAATAAAATAGAACTAGATGCCAGACAAGAACAGCACAGAAGTGTGAGACCTGGATGATGCCAAGGTGCTGGCATGATTCAGGCACAGGGTCATTAGATTTTTTTACATTAATATATGGTTACATTCTAGGGTAATCAATAAAATAAAAGAGAGAAAGCATTTTGCCTCTAAACAAGGAAAAATACAGTAGAAAAGGCAAACAAAAGTTATTCAAAAAGAAGGCAAGAAGCAAAACTACAGAAATGTAGAAAATAATAGAAAGTATAAAATAAAATGGCAGAAATGACTGCAAATATCCCAGTACTCACAACCTGTGTGGATAGTTTATCACTGAGGGCAGGGCTTGCGAAACTCCGGAGTCTCAGTGCTTATCTGGGAGGCCTTGTCTGCAGGAGGTGCAATCAGGGGCTGAAGTCTCTGACTCAGGTGTGTGCAACTAAAGCCTTGGTTCCATGTTGCCAAGTTAAGAGCATTTTCAACTGGATGAATACAATGTTTATTCTAACAAGGGATGTTATGCTCAGCCCAAGAGAGAGATTCGGAGCTCAACTTCAAGAAACCTCCTGC